GGTGCTGGAGGTTTGGGTGCCGGTGCCGGAGGCTTGGGTGCTGGTGCTGGAGGCTTGGGTGCCAAAGGCTTGGGTGCCGGTGCTGGAGGTTTGGGTGCTGGTGCTGGAGGCTTGGGTGCCGGTGCTGGAGGTTTGGGTACTGGTGCTGGAGGCTTTGGTGCTGGAGGTTTGGGTACTGGTGTTGGGGGTAAGGGTGACAGCAGTGTGGGTGGTGTTAGAATGGGTGCAGGAGGTGACACTGCAGATTCAGGGGGCATGGGTGCCAGTGGCACTGGGTTTGGTGGAGGAAATGGTGTTGGAGGTAAAGGAATATGCGATGGAGTTAGTGGAGGAATAAGTGCAGATCGAAGTAAAGGCCGTGGAGTGGGTCCTGCTGGAATGGTTGGTGGAATCGGAGGCAGTGGAGGAACTGAGGGTATGGGTGGGGAAGACATAGGTATTGCTCCATCAGGCCCAGGTGAAATAGGAAAGGTTGGAGGAAGCAAGGGTGGTGTGAGTGGTTCCGGGATTGGATATGGATCAGATGGATATGATGGCAACATTGAGGCCTATGCAGAGCAGGCTGTGGAGCTGACAGAGCGAAGGACAGTGCTTATTAGGTAAAGGTACCATGAGGTATCTTTTCTTTTCTATTGAATAGAGTTTACTGTAATGGCAGCACTGAAGCTCAGAAGGTAGAATCAAACAAGCCCTTAAATAAGACGTAATGACATAAACTGCCTTAACATGCTTTGTAATAGTGTTAGGGTTAGGGCTGGCATACTTCTTTTGGTCCTTTCAGCTTTTCTTTGTCCTCTCCTACAGGACGGTTAAAAGTGAGGACGATGTGCTGGAGATGGACCACCAGGAACAGACCTACACCATCACCGGTGCAGCCGATGACTCTGACAACGAATGAGCAACACAAATTCCCGAGTGACCTCCTCTCGCCCTTAAACCTCCACGCCCCTCTGAGCTTTGCACTGACCAAACCCCATGTCTGGGCATTGACCTTTGCCCTTTGCCCTGGACAAGAAGCCCATGAATGACCCTTTGCTATAGTGAAACCTTCAAATCATAGGGTTTAAATATGCCTTACTAGGAACACTCAACATGTTCTCTAAACTTTTGTGTGCCTTACACTCCTCCCTTTTTTCTACTTGCTGCAAATAAAGCTATCAGCATTCACTTATCTTGTCTTTCTTTTATTCAGTGTCATTTGGGGCTAATTGTTTGAGGACAGAGATGGTATTCAACACTATTTTTATGCTGGTCAAAATGCATTTTTGCTCAGTAGAGAGAGATGTTGCTCATGCTCATGGCATGGGCTTGCGATGATAAATAGTAAAAAAAAAAAAAAAAAAAAATTTTTTTAAAAAGAGGCAGGGGGGAAGAAAGTCATGAAGAACTGTAGAGCAGAGAGAGAGAGAGAGTAGAGAGAGAGTAGAATCACCTGAGGGTTGAGGCGGTCGTTCTGACACTTTCTGGAGGGCTGAGGAATCCATCATTCAGAGTTAGTCCTGCAGCAGAGTGACGGCACACAGCCGTTTCCTGTCCTCATTCCATCCATATCCACACCTTTTTCTCCTGCTGCTGATTGGGAGAGATTGGATCTGGCCAGCAGATGCCAAACACGCTCAGTGTCCTGCTCAGGGGCAGAGAGTGGAGACATGCAACACACCAATCCTCAGACAGAAACTGCAACAAAGACTGGAGCAAGACCAGTGCTGTGATGGCAGCAGTAACATTACTGTGCCATTATTATTATAATGGGACACATCCAGCTAAAGTCAAGGAAAGATCAAAAAGCACAGTGCTTCCTACACAGTGAAATGCTTTAGAGTTTGTTGAATGTAGTAGAACTTTCAAATGTTTGTTGGAGATTTTTCATTTTCAAAGACAAGAACAAAAAATGCAAACGCATAACCCATTAAAAAAACAGGACATATTTGGAAGGTATTCAAATAAGCAATTAATATATAATACACACACACACACACACACATATATATATATATGGTAAACATTAATCACACTTTCATGCAAATATTGTAAGCAAACGCAATAAAATAGATTTACTGCATAATTAGAGCCTGACAGTAAAACCCTGTCATTACAACCTAAATATTTCCTGCATGATTTTCATGCAGATACCTAATGTAAAAATAATCAATATTTCCTCTCGGACATCATTTCCACAAGCTCATCCCACCCGAACACTCGGGAGACAATTAGTTTGAGCCCAGAACTGTCAATCTGAGACATAATGAGCAACTGCGAGACGCTCATATCATTAGATTATATTTTCTTACAGCGAATTATTAACGTGCACCCAACCTGAAGGGTTCCTAATTAAACATATAGGGTTGAATTCATGGAATGAAGCGCTACTTTCATCTGTATGATGATACATATATAATAGGATGGAATTTATCATCGATATAATTAACAGAAGGAGGGACGGTGTGTCTGCGTGTGGAGGCGTGCGTCTGGAGCTCTCCATGGTGCTTTCAAATTGACGGAGTGGAAAAAGCGAGTGTGGTCTTATTAAAATAAATAAACAAACAACAAATACAGAAATATGTATTTTTTAAGCTTAAATTTAATACAAAAATCTGCATTCCCTGACACACAAAATGTTATGGCATAATGAATTCCCCCTTTCGAAATATATATTAATTTGATTAGTAATACTTTAGTAAAGGACTGACGACTGCAAGATACACATAATTTAAAATAAATATAAAAATAAAATATATTTAAATATATTTTTACGCTCTTATTATTATTATTATTTTAAGAAACTTTATTTCCATTTTGTTCAGATAATAACCATGAAATCGGCTATAAAACCCCCTCATATTCAAGCACACAGGCAAGTCAAGGTTGCGTGTCTTTAAACGTGCACTTTGCCATGATAGTTGTTTAGCTCACACTTGTTTTTTTTGCAGAAACATCCTGCATTTCCAATTGGGTCACTAACCTTCCTCCTATAGGGGAAAAAAAAATGCACTTTCGCTCTGCGCCGGGGGGAAAGAGCGTCTTATATTCAGCTGGAAGGGCAAAAGTTGCGACTTTCTTTGAAACCTGTGATTTTCTGTCACTTTGTGCATATGCTTTGGGTGGCTAAATCCCAATTAGGGTCGGCTGACACGCTGCTCTATTCACGCAGAGCCCGGCCTGCATACATTTGCCTAGGAATGAACTCCTCAAATAGATCTCCTGCTAAATGCGTCGGACAGCAGAGAGAATCGGCCTGAGTGACACGTTCTTTCTGAGGCGCTCGAGTGAGAAAAGGTATGAATTTATAAGGTACACCGAAACATATCAATTCCCGCAACTTCACACGCTTTTATACGCGTCTCCTCATGCGAGACAAAGTGAGTTTAAGTCAGGGAAATGTGGCCTGAAAAAGAAGAAGAAGAAGAAGAAGAAGAAAAAAGAAGAAAAAAAAAAAACTTTGTTGAGACTTTGAATACCAAAACGGTGCAACCCACTTCAGGGAGGAGAAAAGGAGAAGGAGGCATTTTGAATGAAATCACGCATGAACAACGTTGAATCAGGTGCCGTTTATTCGACTCCTCTCTAATGCGATTTTGAATATTAGTCTGGGTTAAAATCCCAATCATGTCATCTGGTGGGAGTCCCATACAAGCATAATTACTATTCAAACGCGTCGCTAATGTCCCACCCGCATCCAGGCAGCTGGTCTGTCCATGGCGCAGCCTGCGTCTTTCCCCAGAACGTAAAACACCTCAAACATGACTATTTTAAATAGGGAAAACAACAAAGCAAGAAGAAGACAAACACCCCTGTCTAAGGATTTTTTTTTTGTTTTTGCTGGAGTGGACTTAGATCTGAAAGGAATAACAATACGTTGTGAGTGCTGAACAGACTGCAGTATGAGGACTGAAGTTTTTTCTTTTTTTTTTTTAATTGAAGGAGTGTGACCAAATGACTTGTGAGAGGTACAGGAGGGGTGGGCTTACATGTGGAGAAATAAATGGATTTGGACAAACACAAAGTCATTTCTAAAACGTGGGAATCTGTGAGAAATAGGCCACATCGCTAAGTGGGACAATGATTGGGCTCTGCTGAATAGAGCCAAACAAAGTTTATGGGTCGACATAAAAAATGTGTTTTCTTCTGAACTCAGAAGGGGTCTTAAATGGTAGGCCATTGAAACCAGTCCAGGAGAGGTGGTGGTGAACCCTTGGCACCCCTGAAGCATAGTCAGGGCGCATGAATGGAGATCCCTGGTGGGGCATTGCTCTCTGTATTTACCGCATTGCTTTGCAGACAGGTTGTTCCTCTATATTCATGGCTCATTAATGGCCAACCAGTTAAATCAGAGAGCCCCACCGTTTAGACAGTTAAAATCCAAAAAAGGCTGGCAAAAGCCGGGCAGGGCCGCCCATAAAAACGTCTCCCTCCTCTTCCAGGCTCCGATTCTTCTCAGGTCGTTATTTAAGTTCATTAAAGAGATGAGGAGATCACTTAAGAGGAGCGCACTTGCGGAATGCTGTTGAATGACTCCACAATATTGTTCCAGAATAAAGATCCAACCATGTAATTAATGTGTCTTTTTCTCTTTTTTTAACCAAAAGAAGAAGAAGAAGAAGAAGGAGGAGGAGGAGGGACAATACCGCCGGTCAAGCCATTTAATTTCATTTAATTTTCCATCCCATTTGCTTCCAACACTGCCTTCTCCCTGACACCGAGCCTTTCACTGCTCTTCGGGGCTTCAGAGCGCACAGTGGCGCTGGGATTCACCCCAGCGACTTTCCCCGCAAAACAGAAAGGAAACGTCTTCGACTCCTTCTTTATTTTTTCTTTCTCCAGCTCCCCCTCCTCCTCCCTCCTTCTCTCCTCTTTCCTCGGAGAATAATTAATTTCACTGTGGAGAAGAAGAAGTGCGGGGCTTTAAAGCAGCGCAAGGGGTGGATGGGAACCAGTCGCAAATGGCGAGGCGTTAATAAATAACCCCTCCGCACAGCCGGGCGCAAACATTGCGCCTATTGATGAGATTGTTCGCGTGTCTTTCAGGCTCTTTGACGGGCTGTGGAGGAGCGCAGGGAGGAGAGGAGGGCGAGAGAGAGAGGAGCAACACGGGATGCCTGCAGAGAGAGAGACACCGTCATGTGGCGCGGTTTTATTACAGCACCTGAACTGTTCAGATGTTGTTTTTAAAAAGAGAACTGATCTCACACCTAAATAAATTGAAGCATTGATTTGAACTGAATTGTATAGTCTGTCCCTTTTTTCTTCTTCTTTATTGTTATTTTGGCTCATTTAATGTTTATTTGATTCATTGCTAGAAGCAGAAATGCAACATGTAGGTCTACACGTCCCTGTAACATTTACTAAACAGCGTTTTCCACGTGTTTTTAAAACCTCTGGCTGTAAGTTAAGTGTCATGCTGCTGATCCGGAGTCAGAGGCCACAGTGGACAGGTCAAAGGTCAACATGTTCTTGGTCTGGACTGATCGCCCACAGCTTCTTGTTCTTCTTCTCTGCTCAGACTCATCAACGCAGCATCAAAAGCTTTGGGTGACTTTCAACAACCTGCTGCACACACTCATCCTGCATTTCTCTCTCCAATCACCAAGACTTCATGTATTCCAGATATGTGTGTGGTTTTTATTTTTTGGTTTCCTGTTCCCTATAAATCATGTTTTATTATGATCCAATGGCATAAATCAAAGAAAGATCTTTACATTTGACTATTATTATTAGTAGCACTATAATTTATATTATTACCTTTCAGATAAACTGATACACACAATAGAAACCACAAAGATGAATGCAGAAGCAAGAAATCTCAGAGATAAAATAAATAAATAAATAAATACATTTTAAAAATTCACATTTTAAAAACTGTTGAGCTGAACTAGATGAAATCTTTTGGAGATATATTTT